TACCACCTATTATGCATTATACACGTTATGGCAGGCTGGATAGTGAACTTTCGTTCAAAAGTTATCATCGCACTTTTGTAATGCATAGTATTCCCCAAAGAACTCAAAGGCTTGAAAATTTTGTCAGACCTTAATGGGAACTCATAGCGGTTTTTGTAACGTCACAATTTGCGACCACGTTGTTGCATCGTTTTCGGACAAGTATACCAGTAGGTCAACCAAAATGAAGGAAACTCGGTACCACCATCAGTCCAAGAGGCAAGTGACAGCATTGCAGCTTGAAATCCTGTCACTTTTGATTGACAACAACCCAGTTACCGTTCAAATTCTCATTTAGGGTGCTGAAGCATGGGGGAAGACTGACATCTAACCCTCAGACGAACGGAGCATTTGATGAAGTTGTTTACCATAAAATCGCGATGGTTTTTCCAGGTGATGGTGAAACGAAAAAGTCGCAAAAACCAAATATTTACACTTTGGCTGTATCTACAAACTCTGAGTTGAACTACTCCAAAACAGTGTATGAAGAACTAGGGACTTCAACCAAAACTCAGTGGAGTCGCTTAAATCATATGATAGATCTTATTCACTATCAGAAGGCGTTTCAGAACAGCAAATTAGCATGCGATTGCCTATCCAATGGGTAAAAGTTGGAAAGGTCAGTGAATCTGAAAGGAATCAACTCAAGAATAGCTTTATGCAACCTGTTAAGTGCACTTAAAGGTGCTAACAAAGACGTCAATATAATCTTTGGATAAATGAACACAACGGTTTGTGAATACCTCAAGCAGCTCAGTGGTTAGGGCGCAAAGATAAAGACCAGAGCGCCAGTGGTTCAAAATCAACCTCTGCATCTCAGCCGTTTAGCAGTATCCTTCGGGTGGCATGAAAGCAATCCGTCGAAATGATGTTACAGCTTGACGCTTTATTGTGAAAATCAACTTTAACTAGGAAGCCTGATGGCAGCGTACCGCGGCCCGGTAATATTGCTAATATACGGAATCATCTACTACATCACAGAATTCCGATATATGGTATTTCTGTAGTCGTTTTTGAGCTACATGCCAAAAGTGGATCAGCTGATGTATAAAAGAAGTAGACGAGGTTATCTACCATTCAGCATGTTTTTCCGGGGCCAGTTTTGATGTTTAATTATGAAACTGACCTTGATAATCGGTGATGCACTAGGAGAAATGTTTCATTGACCCTAGCGTATGGAAATGAGCTTCGTTTTAAAAATAAGCGGATCGAACTGTAAAACCAAACCTCAGTAGACAGGAGTACAAATTAATGCATTTAGAAACGTGTATTTCTCACAATCGAGCAGCAAAAGAAACAGTTCATCGAATTTTGAAAACAATTCGACCAAATTGTCATCGGGTAGTATGAGGTATTTTAGCGCAAAAAAGATGCTCACAAGCCGTCTGTAGGGTTTTAACTAACATTGCTTACTTGTACTGAACCAGGAAATATCTTCAGATTTCAAGGAGTTACGATTTTTTGTAATTTCAAATGAGCTTCTAACCTACGATATTCCTCTTCTAGGTTATCCTTCAGCGCTTAGGTATGTTTCTATCGATGCAAAGCTGCAACTGGTTTCCTTAGGATATTCACACATAATCCGAACAAAAGCGCCGGTACAAGTTCAGGGCCACAAGCCATTTTAGACTTTAACTGGGACATAGCCTGCTGCAAATTGGTCACTAGTGTGTCAAAGGTGCGTGGACCTAGCTTCTTTATGTTTTAGAACATCAATTTTGATGAACATGCCATGAAAGGACATGGTTAGGTCGATACCAGGACGATTGCTCAAAGGACGGAAATGTGATTATGTATTCTGCAAAATCCCGCAACCACCAACATCTGAAATCAAATTTGTCCAGTATGTTTCAAGCTTCTGTGGCGCTACCTGACTTGGAAGTTCTGAGTGGTGGATACAACAGAGAAATGCTACTTGGTCGTCGTTCGAGGCGTCAGAAGTCCCACGTACCTCACTCCAGCGCTCACTAACTCAATTCGGATGAGTCCAGCATGCGCTGGTGGAGTACTGTTAAAATGCTCACCTCATATTTCAGATGTGTGAAGTTCAGACTCGGCCAAGCCACTGGATACACACTGCTGATGAGCTCTAATGGGAGCAAATCTTCAGTCTAGTGTTACCCTCTGCTGTTTCAGCCGCTTTGGTTAAAAATTCATCACTGGCAGCGGAAGATATGCATCCGATCTTGCTTCCCAACTTCTTCGCCTTCTCCTGCAAAATCGAAACGTTTTTAGAACTGACTAGCAAGGATATTACTACGTTTCTTCAGTCAGGCTTTCGTATCTGCTCTCACGTGCTGCAATTATCCACTCTATCATATCAAGCTCTGTCTTTTTGAGGATTTTTTCAATTTAACCAGGACAGAATGAATTTACGGCTTAATTACTTACAGCTAATTTAAACTATCCCATGATCAAACAATCGGTTTTCATCCGCATAACCTCCAATCCAAAGTTCCCTGCTTCATTCATTGGCAATTTCGATGTATCTGGTTACTTACTGAGTTAAGAATGACTGTGATTCACTCTAGCACTGAGATCAGTGCTACACGGTTGTGTATCCACTTGGTTTATTTTTTGCAATGAAGGAAAGTTGGAGTAATAAGGAGTAGGTAAGCTCTGCCCAGTGTGTATGCTTCTGGTCATAACGACTTACATGAAAGCAACCTCAGAGACAAAAGTCCGACCCTCGATGCGCAAACGCACAAACAAACAATCGTCATTTGATTAAGCCGATGATGGGTCATGAAAGCGATCCCTCAGTGACAAAACAGGCCGGAGGCGAAATGAATCGGTTTGAATGCTGATAGCCCAGCGCAAGCAAAAAATCACCCATCGAAAGGAGGGCAAGTTTGACTGGAAAACCAGAGGCTTTGATGTTAAACGGCCTGCATTTAGGCGGTTTCCGCTCCTTTTAGAATTTTCTGTCTGGTCTGGAAGAATGTTCCCAATTCTTTTGAAAATTTAAATAACACACCCATGTGGAGGGCGGAAATATATCCGAAATCAGGTATGTCTCCTATTCACCGGTTTCTGGTTGATGAGCTCTATCGTATTCAAACTATTTAAAAAGGATTATACATATTTTTATACCAGTATACCAAGAAATGCATATCAAAAGTACATACATCAAGAGCTTGTGGAGACTCAAGTGGGCCAGAGATGCAAGCCGAAGAGCGGGTTCCTTTGGAAAAGGGGAGTTTTTAAAATGGAAGCTTTCACGGTCCAAGTAAGTCAATCCATTGATCGTGAACCTGCAGTTTTTTTTTGAAACGGTACTTTTCCCTTCGTGCATACGACCCCTCAGAGATTACTTCCATACAGGACAGTATTCTGGTGAACGAAACTGGCGCAGAGGACAAATGAGACGACTTACTAGAGTGGAAAGATTTGCGACCCGTCCGATAGATGACCCGCGCAACACAAATCACAACTGTAAATTGAGAAAGGTCATCGGATGTGCTGTGTTAATTTTTTAGGGCAGCACTTTCCTCGAGGATTCAGCATAAAAGTACACAAATATTCCCCCAGGTAAAGTCTCTTTCCAGCCTCAAGAATTAGCTAGACTGCATTCGTCAATCCTGAATCGCTAAATCATACACGGGCTAATATTCAATTCATGAGATCTTTTTTGCCTGTTCTCTCAATTTCACTTCAGTAGTCGTATGGCACGAAAGTTGCAAATTTGGTTTAATTATGCTTGACAGTTATCTTGACTCAAAAAAATTAGATCCGTAAATCTCTCGCTGCACAGCATATGACGCCAACAACTGCCCTCCACCTTCGTCACAGAGCAACTCGTTAATATCATGTGCAGTTTTGCTCGAAAAACCATCTTGACCAAAACGATATCAACAATATTCACACAATAGAGCCTTAGATACCTTGCTCTGAATATCTGTTTTCATAACAACTGTGTACTTGATCGTGGTGAGATTTCCCATTGCACTTGCTCAGCCAACTCAACAGGCTCTTTTAAATTCTTTCTCCACACTGTTGTTGCCCATGAACAAAACCTCTCGTTCTCGTGAAGATTTGTAGATGACCATGAAAGATCACTCAATCACATAAGACCCGAAAGAATGTGCAAACCCCGGAGACCAGAAGCAAGTCGCTAACTTGTTTACCCATCGGATCTTCTGCCTGTTAAGCCGAGAAGACGCCTTAACACAGTGCAGCTGGATATGATTTTTGATCTTACCGTCTGTCGAATAAACCAAACTTATTTCCGCAAACTATTTAGACTGGATGATAAACGGAAGATCTGAGGATCAAATGGTGTGAACCGCAAACCGAACGGTCACCGAAAAATCCTTTTTTTATCTTGAGGAAAATCAGTAAGAAAGGGAGGTTTGCCTGTTAATTAGGCTCTTTAAAGCGGGAAAAGGGCTCAGTTGGTTAAAACGCAAATTTAATGACCGGAAAGTTAGTGGTTCGAACCCGATCTCTGTCTCTCGACTCTCCCTGTCTAGGCTTCAGCAACCTGGCAGTACCACAGCCCTTGTGCATCTTTCTGGTGGTATGGCAGCTGGGCACCGAAAGGGTGCTACAGCTGAACGATTTTTTTAAGCTCTGTAAAATTTGGTCAGATTTCCTTGGAATGTGTACGTAATTGGATTTTACATCTTTTCGACAAGTGTCAGGGGAATAAAACCTCCATCGTTGTTTGCAAGGGTAATGTGTGACCCAAGTGCTTCCATGGGTCAACTAGTCCAGATGCACTAAAAACACCCCAATAAATTATTGCAAATTACGAGGCACAGAAACTCTCAAAATGGAAGCTGAACTGGTCATTCGCATATGCGTCTCACAAGTGGCCCGCGAGTCTCCGGCCCATCAGAAACGTCCTTTCCCGACCAAGGGATTTGAGTAGAAGATGCGAGAGTGGTAAAAATGTTCTCTAAAACTTGGGCTTCGTTTCGTTTGTCTCATTCGTATGGCAGCTCCCTAGGTAAGCTCACCTTACTCTCAGGGAACCGAACCGAAGTCTCTGAGACTGTAACTGAATAGTACACATCCCTTACCTGAATTAAAACCCAAAATCAACAGTGTCTCACTTGGTAAACAATCTTTGTCCGTCCGGTGTGAACAGCCACAACAACTATATGCATTTACCTTCGTGAGTTACTCCCGATTTTATTGAAATAAGCACCTCGTTGCTTTAGGATGCTATTAGTAAATAGTAGTTCGCAAAGCCACAGAAGCTAAAATTTAATTCCTACGACGGAATCATACTGATTAGTGAAAATTTCACAATCAACGTGAAGTACAAATTTATTTTTACAAGGAGTTGGAATGTAGAGGAATATGGACTTTGTTCAACTTGAGGTCTTTTACAAAAGATGCTGATGTCATGTTTTCAACTTCTGGGCAATTTGAACCCAACTGATTCTTATCACTAGAACAATAACGGTAGTTAAACTAACCATAAGCGTGCTAACAACAAGACCGTTTCCTCTTGTGTGTTGGCAGTATACAAATCTTATAACTTACAGTGCTAATGTTCGCATAAGTGGATATTCGTGGATAACGTGTAAGAAGTGTGTGTTATACATATTAGACGTTCGGTTTAATGTCATAAAGCAGACATCATACACCTCGGGATTGTGACAATATGGTTTCAGTCTTTCAAGAAATGCACTCATTTGCAAATCAACTTGGTTTTCACGAGAGACTCAACTGAATCTCTCGTTTATTGTACTCTACAACTCAATATGCTGCACACAGGCCTCCTCATGTTCCAGTTGGCACGATATTCGAGATATCCCAGTGTATTTTCATAAAGGAAACTACTCACAAGGTTGAGTTGAGTCTATCGTGAAAACCAAATTGATTTGCAAATGATTGTATTTCTCGAAAAACAGTCCAATTTAGGTTCAAGTGGAACATAAGGTTGATGGAAACTCAGGGACTGCGCCTACCTGATGGGCGCCAAAAAGGGCGAAACCGGTCGTGGGCTGTCGAAGAGTTTTCAGCAACCTTGTGAGTAGTTTCCTTTGTGAATAAACTTTCAGTTTCTCCATCCTCAATTGTATCTGGATTTTAAAGCTGTTCCTCCGAAGAAACACTGGGGCGTTTTCACCTGGAAACCGATGAGATATTTAAGTAAACTCGTCTTATGCAGTCAGTCATCGGCGTGTATTGATGATTAGTAAGCTTCTTGTTACCCTGGCAACCTGCAGGGATTGTTCTGAAAGGCAAGAAGCTTGCTTTATTTACTGAACGACCATTCATCCTCAAGTGTTCAATGAGGTTTTTCGTTCTCCAAACAGAAAAGAAATTACAGGACAGTTATCTACTGACAGTTAGTCCAAAATTCTGGACATGTTCATGTAATAGGTCTGACACACCTCAATCGTCAGGTGCTTGAGCGTAAAATAAGTCAATAGATCACACATTATGATCTCTTTAAAATGACATGCATCACGTGACAACAGATCCCCAAAACATAAGGGGCACTGCCATGCTTGTATCAGTACGTGAGAAAATGTGAAGTGGTATGGACGATCAATGATACTCAAGCCACTGGTTATTTTACATAAGTCCGAAGTTTATGACTTTTGATGGTTAAACGAATCTACCCTTAATTTTAATTGTAATAACCGGTAGATGAAGTACGAAACTGATAACACCGCGCTATAATTTAGAATATTTCCTGTGTCGCGAAATTATCCTGTTTTGACGCGTTTTTATCTCTTATCTATTGGTACATTGTGTGAAGAGCGGTTGCATTACACACTTCACCAAAACGACTTACTTTCTCCTGATTGTCCGCAATTCATGATGTGCCAATTTCGTCATATAAATGGCGTATAGTACATAGATGATGGCTAGTGGTACTGGTAGCAAAAACTTCAGGCACAACTGTAACCTAAACTCAAAGTGTCGCCAAATGGTACCCCTTCATAGCAGATTGTTCTTTCGTCACGTAACTACCATCGCACTGTAGGCGACAAAAGCCTAAATCCTCGGCTCACAGGATATCAAATGATTCGGGTTACCGGGGTCTGAAATGTTTCTGTGACTGTATATCAGCATTCCAGTACACCGGTAAAATGTAGGAAGAAAACAAGTCACTCATTCGCCGCTCGACTGACTTGATTCAAGGACTCCACCATTCCTATCTTCATCTGATGCCGGTGTACTTTGCAGTAGTCAGATAGCCATGGGCATCCCGTTTCTGTAGCCCTCAGAACACATTTTACCTACCCGCTAGTGTGAAACGAATTAAACACTGTTGCGGTCTTCCCTTACCTAACCCCGCTCAGCCTTATCCTAACGTCAGTCTATGAATCCCATCCGCCGAAAAACTATATTTTCATCCATCTGAATGCTCATGTTAAAATAGTTCGACAGATTCATTATCATTAGTTAGGCGACAAATGTGTGTTCCTGTTGGTGGCGGCGAGTCACAGTTGTCTAGTTTCGGTCCTGGTGCAGCGACATTTGATCCTTGCAACTGTCAGGTCATCTTTGGAGAAAAGACACGAACCAAAACAGACACATACAGTTAGTGCACACGGAGGATCATCATCCAATCTTTTCAGACATGACTAGACATGACACCAGCAGGGTTCTACTAAATATGAATGGTAAAATCTTTGGATTGTCCGAAATTCTTGCTAAGCAGTGACCATGAGATAGAATATATTTAAATAATTTCTGAGATTGACTCAATCCACCCCCATTGTGTATTTCGTCGCACTAATAAACCTTTTATAACGAGCCATTTTCTGTTGGGGTTGATTGAGCATAACCAGATGGGTATAGAAGATAGGTGTGTGCCCTAATGGACAGCAACGAGAATACGAAATAGAATAAAATAAAATAACGAAATCCTGTCAGACGAAAGCGTCCATATCTGGATGCTGTGCACGAAATTCTAAAGGCTGCTGACATAGATCCAATGAATTGGGAGGCAAAAGCAGAGAAATCGATGGCTCGATGGAAGACAATGAGAAGTGGTGTTCTTCAGTTCACTGATCACCATCTTCAGACCAGGGAGCTGAGGATTGCGAGACTTTCGGTCATCATCCTGAAGGCTCAAGGAGCTGGATCTATAGCGATTGCTGGTCTCTGCGGATTGATCGGCGACCAGTAGATACACTGTTATCCGCCGGATAAATTAGGCCTACAGGGTCTGTCTTGACTTTATGAATATACCAGACAGCTAGACTTGCCAGTGTCTTGGTAGCACCTTGCTTTGGTCACCGCAGTTCGGACCAAAACCTACGAAAATGCTCTAGCACATTCGGCAATCTGGTAAGCCAAACGCGCGATGGTGCAACATTGTGAGTGGTTTACTTTATGAAAGTATACTGAAATATCTCGAGCATCGTACCAACTGAAACGTGAGGCGGTCTTTGTGCAGCACATTCAGTTAAACACCATAAACGGGAGATTCATTTGAGTATATCGTGAATACCACATTGATATGCAAATTAGTATGTTTGTTGAAATTCATGTTGTTTCAATGTAGAGTGCAGCCCCAATGAAAAGTGACCCCTTCTTGCAGTCCTTCATAATGTCACCATCACATCTTGTAAACACCATAAACGGGAGATTCATTTGAGTATATCGTGAATACCACATTGATATGCAAATTAGTATGTTTGTTGAAATTCATGTTGTTTCAATGTAGAGTGCAGCCCCAATGAAAAGTGACCCCTTCTTGCAGTCCTTCATAATGTCACCATCACATCTTGTCCTTTGTAGGCTGACAAATGTCCTATCACCTCCATCACTCTGTTATTGATCATTTTATATCAGTCTTCTCCTACCTGGACAGATCACAACCTTCACTGCATCTTCTTGTTGCCACAGTGGCCGCCGTGACGATATCTTCTACAGTGTACTATAGATTCATGAAGTAGCACTAGATGTTGTAGTGTCAGTTGAACTACAACCTTAAGCGCTGACCCGGCTTACGGGCATAAATTAATGAGTGGAGGCAGATAATGGCATCTGGGGTCCACGTAACTGAAACCAGACCTGAAAATTGCTTGATCCTTCACGAAAGTTTTAGCGAAAAACAGAACTACACAAGCGTGAGAATGACTTACAGGTCCGTTTTCCTGGATGAGAACAGGCGACTTATCATCATTTCATGAATATTGTAGGCCGACATTCAACGCAGTACTGATCTTTGAAAGGACTGAGGGGAACAACCGACAGGTCAGCGAAACTGAAGACAAATAAGATAATGAAAAACGCAGGGAAATTTTGCAGAAGTTTTTGGTACTTTGGATGAAACGACATAAAGTTTTTAACTTAACAAGAAACTGTTTTAAAGGAATCAGTATTCTTACATAAATCATTTGGAAATCAGCTGCAATTATACTTTTTCGAATGTTTGAAACAGATTTTTAGCCCTCTTTCGATGGAGCACTACTTGTCAGTAAATAAACAAATGCTGTCGACAAAATCATTCGGTTCGTTATTTATCATTTGGTTATCTACGTGTTGTGAATTAATTTTCACTGTATTTACTTACGCAGGAACTATCAAAGACCATAGAGATGCTCCAACCCGTCAACCAATCCCCAAGAAATAAAAGGCCTCTAGAAAAGTTTTGTGACCCCGCAATATGTTTTCGCCTGTGTAACCTCTACATAAGGCTTTCAAAACTGTCTGCTGTTGATTGGGATATCAGTCGTTACCTGCCAAAGCCAATATTCTGAAACAAGTCTTTAAAGTGTCCTTTTTAAAAAGGAGTCAGTGTAATATCTTCTCTAAGTAGTATACTCGAAGCTGTTGCACCAGATTCCATAAGAAGACTCAGGTAGATCAAATTTTTCCAAGTCCTGAAGCAGACAAATGGCTGAGCATATTTCCGTTTCGTTATTCGTTGTAGGATTTTCAAGCTAATCTGTTATGTTTGGAAGTAAAACACAAAATTTAATCGTTTCATCTAACAGAAGCCCATTTTTCGAAAGTTTCTGAATAGTATTAGAGGGCATTCAGAAGGCGCGAAATTCATCCGTGATCAACCAGCGGAAAATTAGTTCCTGTCCAGAATATGACA